TCCCACTCTCCTCCCACTCACGTGACTCTCTCTGCAGTCGTGTGGAGTAAAGACGGCCAACAGTTGGAAAATGAGCGCAGATTTCAAATCGATTCAAACGGCGTTCAAATCAATGACGAGATCCGCGTCTCCGACGGCGGTATTCCTTGCTCTCAGAAATCCCTTTCCTCTCATGCCTTTCCTCTGTCCGCAGGTGTGTTCCGCGTGCGCGCTCTCGTCACCGAAACGGGACGCATACATGACGTAAGCATTGACTCGCAATCACATGACTCTTTAATAACTGTTTACTCTTTTCGCAGACTTTTATTACGGTTCAGATTTTCGGTCAGTTTTGGCGCTCTTTTCGCATATTCTTCGCTCATTTTCTCTCCCTTTCAGAGCCGCCACAAGTCGTCCAATTGGCCGAACATTTCGAGGGAACCGAAGGCCAAGAGGCGTCAGTTTTCTCCACGATTTTCGCGCTCTTTCTCTAATGCCTTCTCTCTCTCGAGACAGAACTCTCAAGTGTTTCGCGAAAGGCGTTCCCCAACCCCTCATCACATGGTTGGATCCCAACAAACGTGAGTCCAAACGTTCTGTCACTGGCCACGCCCCCTAACGGCCGCCTCCCGCAGGAAACCTCTCGTCGGTGGGCGGATACGTCGTCGACCGCAACGGCGGCGCTCTCATAGTGTCGCGCGTGCGGAAGGAGGAGGACAGCGGGCAGTTCACGTGCATCGCGCAGAGTGAGTGTCGCCACCTGTCGTCTGCGGACAATACTAACAACAGCTCTTCTCAGACACTGCGGGCGAAGAGCGCCGAACGACGACTTTCGTCGTTTTGCGTCCGCCGAGAATCACGTCTTTCGCGAACAAGAGTTTCGACGCAAACAAGGAATCGCTTCTCGAGTGTCGCGTGAGTTCGCGCCCAACGCCTCCCGGCGCCCCCTTTACCGCCCTTTTCCCGCCCGCAGGCCACCGGCGAACCGACGCCCAAACTGTCGCTGCGCCGCGACGGCGACTCTCGCGAACTGACGGCCGGCGACCCGCGCGTGACGCTCACCACAACTCAAGAGCCGAACGAAGAGACGCTTTTGTCGCTCCGATTGTCGCAAACCGTAAGTCTGTGTTGTCTTTGCGTCGCTCTCATTGTCGTCTCTCTCGTCGTCCACAGCGTCGCGAAGACGACGGCCTCTACTTCTGCAGAGCGAGCAACAGAGGCGGAGTCGTCGAGAGCGCCGGACAGTAAGTCTCCGCCTTTTTGGCGCCTTTTCGCGGCTTTTCACGCCTTCTCTCGCGACCACAGCCTCGAAGTGCGTTTCGCTCCCGACTTGAGTCGAACGCCGGCAACAGTCGTCAAGACTTGGAATTTGCAGCCAATCAACAGTGAGTACGCCTCCAGTGTTCTGCCCCCCCTCTAACCTGCGCTCCGCCCCCGCAGTGACGTGTGTGGCGGACGCCGTGCCGAACGCGACGATTCGCTGGTGGTTTAGAGGTCAAGACCTGTCCCTCTCTCCCATTGGCTCGCTTTACACCATTGAATCCAATTCGTGAGTCCTTTCCGCCAATCACAGCTCTCTCTCACTCCTCTCGTCCGCCAATCAGAGCCGGAGTTTCGCGACTTCACGTCAACTCGCGTTCGGCCACAGGATCCGCGTTCAGAGGTATTTCCGGTTCCGCGCTCTCTCTCTCTCTCTCTCTCGCTCTCAACACAACTCTTTCAGACATCTTCGGCCAATACCGTTGCGAAGCGTTCAACAGTTTGGGCGCCGATCAGCGCGTTATCCAATTAGAGGAAGCCTTTCGTCCGGGTGAGTGTCACGTGACTTCCGCTCCCTCTCTGACGTCATTTCCTCTCTTTAGGCGCTATTCTGCAGTCGACTCAACACTTGATAACTCCCACAACAATCACATTCCGCATAATGGCGCCTTCTTTCGACAGCGGCGTGAGTCCACTCCCCGCCCCCACCCCC